CTTCCTTCCTTCCTCTTTGCAGATTAACATGAATTAAGGCTGCAGTTTTTTGTTTGCTTTTGTTTGATTGAGAGTCACTTTGGATTTGAGTTTTAACCTGTGGCATGCTCTAGAGACATTTCTTAGATAGTCACCAAGATTGTTGATCTGATCTTTGAATATTGAACTCTGGTCATTTCAAACTAACAAGGGAATAATAATAAAAATTCCCAATGCAAGAGATGCTGATGGATCATCCCCCAGGGACAGGCAAGGCACTGTCCTCAGATGGTCCTCAGATGGAGTTGAAGTGTGAGAGGTCAATGATTACGTCACCCACTGCATGCTTTCTTGAATTTCACGGCTTTAGGCCCAAACCATCTTCTACTAACTTACTGTGCTTCATTTTAACAGCCCGTAGTTTCTCATGATTACAGAATAGAACAGCTGGAGAATCAATCAATGGTTTTGCAAAAGAAAAGTTTCCTAAACTACTGTTTAGGGCGAGAGCACACGTGAAAAGCAAAATCATATCATTGGTGACATGCTAGAGAATGTCCCCTTTCCTGATGCTCTTCCCCAGGCTGGTCTGTGAGGCCCTTGTTATCTTTTTTTAAAAAGACATCAGTTTTGTAAACATTTCACAGTACATCAGCGTATGAGTGGTGGGTTTCGCCACGTACTGGACCTCGTGATTTCCCCCAGACCCTATGGCTTACTAGATTTCATGAGAGGTTCAGAGAGGGAGCCAGGAGGTACCCTACCAGCCTGCCAGTCTGGGACACAAACAAAGGCCATGCACTGGAGAGCCAGCGGTCGATGGGCTCAAAGTAACCTGGAGAACACAGACATCAAAACAGAAACGACTACTGCATGTTGGGAATCATTTTTTTGTTGTTGTTGTTTTGTTTTGTTTTTTTTTTTGCTTCTTATTTCTAAAGTTATATATCTAAACCTACATTAATGATACATCTATGTACACTATTTAGAAGTTCTGCTCTACGGTAACTTTTGTACATGCTGGGTTTTGTTACTAACTGCAAAAAGAAAATAATTACATAAGGCATATATATGTACAGTGGTTTGTCTTTAGCTTACCTGGGTCCTATACCTGCAATGCCCGCTGGGGCAAGCACCTCGCCCTGGAGTGGATGAAGTGTTTCGGGACCTGTAAAACCGAGGGCTCTACTTTCTGTCTCACTGCATGAATAAATAGGCACCGGAGACCTTACGTATCACGTCCCAGGTAACATCTTAGTCACGCTCGTTTGAGTGACCCGGTATTGTACAACACATGCAGGTAAGTAGCTTCCATCTCCAGGAGTTAGATGGGGGCGGCATTTTGGGGGGAGACCAGGCTCAGGCCACAAACGAGGGCACATCGCACCTTCGCCAAATTCCACGTCTACTTTGTCAATCGAAATAACTGAGAAAGGGCAGGTAGATATTTTACACCTTGAAGATTTGTTTTCTGGTAATGTCAAAATTAAATAGAAAGAAATAAAGAACAAAGTAAGAGAGACAGAAAAGAAAGAGAATGATAGACAAGGAAAGAGCGTGTCGGGGGGGTGGGGGGAGAGGGGCTGCCCCGCTAGGGCGCTACACTTTGGATTCGTTCTCCAGGTTAGCCACATCACCATTCCTTTCCGTCTGCTCCTCCAGGTTCTTTTCTTCCTCTTCAGTCTCCAGTTCTGCATGTTGGTTGAGTTTGCTGGACACAGACCAACTCAGGGGCAGCTCTGCCCTGCTGGCCAGCTCGGCCAGCTCTTTGGCACTGAGGGACGGGGTGCTGGTCTCGTAGGTCTCGTGGAAGCTGTTGTAGTCAACTTCGTAGAAGCCGTCCTCCAGCGTCAGGACGGGCGTGAACCGGTAACCCCACAGGATCTCACTGGTGATGTAGGAACTCCGCGCTTGGCACGTCATCCCTGCGGAGAGGAGAATGGAGGCTTTAGTGTATGCGAGGCTGGGCCTTCCCGAGCCAAGGGGACCCAGTGAACCGGGCAGGGCTCCCACTTGCAGCCGTTCAGAATGACCTGCCCACCGTGCCACAGCTAAGGAGGTGTCGTTCATGTCATAGATACCTGCTTCTGGGTTCTAGACCTCCCGGTAGAGTCCTGGGGGGCAATGAGAGAGTCCTGGCTCACATCGAGCCACGCGTGCCTGCAGGGCCATGCACATGCAGAGGACAGCGGGTGTACGAACGCGCACAGGTGTGTGCGGCTATGCCCTGTCTAGTCTTTGCCCCGGGAGAACACTAAAGTCACGGCTGTGGCCTCCCCCTGCTGTGAGAGGCTTAGCACGAGTCCTAATGGGACTCGAGCACTTCGGCCACAGACTTGGAATGGAATTTGACTTGTGGCGCTACACTTAGGCTGCCTTTAAGCTGGGGGCCACGGACCAGTGTTAGACTCCCACCTGCCACGACACACAGGCCGCACTGTGGCCCCCAAATGAGGCAGAAGGGCTACCCCCCTGAGTTTGTGCTTTCCTCAGGCTCAGTGGGCATAGTTGCCCACGTTGTGTAATGATACACTGCCTTAAAGCTCTTCTTCCTTCTTAAAGACGAGAAGACGTTTTCTAATTTGCACAAGTGTGAACTACTGGCAGCCCCGGAGAGAGGAGAAATGGCAGAATGGGGGAAATTCCATCCATCTCCTTAGAAAGGAAAACTGGGCAACAGGCCTGGTATAAGATATGGGAAATGACAACTGTGCATCTTTTTTTTTCTTCTTGGAGGCCAAAGAGCTCTCTTATAAAAATTCTCAGGAAATGGCAGCATTCATGTAGTCAGTAATTCAGGGTCACGTCTTCATTAGGCAAGTAGGCACAGTGTCTAGGGCCCAGAATACTTTTAGGGGCCCCGTGAAAATGCTTTAATTTCTTTTAAAATCAGAAAAATAAACTTTTAGCTAGAAGAAAATGTTGATATATTCATCTTTAAACCAACACAGTTATCAAACGTAATTAATTTTTTTTTAATGGAGCAAGGGGCCCACAAAGGCAAGACTTCCAGGGACTCAAAGAAGTCACACTGTCACCCAGGAAAGGAGCATGCCAGCCAGCCAGTATGTCACTGGTTAAGATGACCAATAATATATATGAGGCAGCTGCTTTGTGCTGAATGCAGGAGGGGTAGAGAGCAGAGGATACACGTGGGTGTTCACACAGAAGGGTTCGGAGTGGCACAATGTCCCTGCAGCATTGCATTTGCTCCTTGTGTGCGGAAGAAGCAGCTGAGGTGCCAGGGATGTAAGTGGTTGACTCAAAGGCAGCTGTCAGAGCCTGAGCCGGCAGCAGCCCTCATGCCAGCCTCGTGTTACCTCCCAACCTCAAACCTGAAATGCTGCCCTTCCTCACTGTTCCCATGGCTGACCCACAAAAACCCCACTTCATGCCTCTAACACCAGTACTGCAGCACTTCTAGGCACTGGAAAGACAGATCAACGCTGTCTTGATTTTCTTTCTCAAATGATGTTTTTCCTCTGAGTTATTTTCTTTATTTGAGCTGGGAAGTGGTGAGGAAAGACAGGTGATGGCAGGGATTTGTGGGCTCAGAGTGGGATGCAAATATGAAGTCAAGGGGAAAAGGTGATAAAATGCTTTTTTTCCATAAAGGAGGTACATGTTTATTGTAAAGTGACTAGAAAATGGAGAAGGTGGTGATAACTGTTGGAGAAAACAGTAAACTAACCAAAAACCAGAAAGAAAATCTGGGGAAAGATGTTCACAGGGGGCTTTGGAAAATTCCAACATATTCTGGAGAATCTAGAAGACCACATGCATGTGTAGGGCTGTGCACAAGCGCCCCCAAAACCCGGGAAGACCTTGAGCTCTCACTTTGGTTGACCCAAGGCTCTGTGCAAGCAGGAAGTGAAGGCTAAGACAGAGTTGTAAAGTGCCTGGCTGAGTGTTGAGGACATGTCCCACCATGGACAAAGAGCCCCTTGACAAAGGCTGAGATATTTATTGGTTTGTCACAGGCTTTTAAGAACATCTTTGTCTAATTATTAGCTGATAATTAAGCAGAGACTTTTGTGGCCAGACATATGAAGCATACATACCTTATAAAATTAGCTCAGGAAAGTCACTAAAAAACAAATAACAACAAAAACCCTGGGGAGGAGGGATAATCTGATTTTCAGGGTTGCCACATTATATTATTTAAAATGCCAGTTTTCAACAATGTTTTATGACACATGTAAAGAAACAGGAGTATGGTGCAGGAAGGAAGGCAGTCAATAAAAACAGTCCTTGAGGAAGCTCAGACATTGGACTCACTAGACTAAGACTTTAAATATATTCAAAGAACTAAAGGAAGTCATGTTTAAAGAACTAAAAGAAGTTAGAGAAATGAGGTCTCACCCAATAGAGAATATCAATAAAACAAATAAATTACATACAAAAAAAAATATAAATTCTGAACTGAAAAGTACAATAAATGAAGAAAAATTCACTATAAGGATTAGTAGATTTGAGCTGTAAGAAGAAAAAATTGTGAGCTTAAAGAGTTCAATTGAGGTTATGAGGAAAGAAAAAAGACTGAGAAAATGAACATAGCCTCAGAAACCTGCAGAACACCCTCAAGTATACAACATATGCATAATAGGAGTCCCAGAAAGAGAATATAAGAGAAAGGAGCAGGAGTATTTGAGACATAATGACAGAACTGCTTAAATTTAATGTAACACATTATACATCAAAAAGCTTAAGAAACTCCAAGTAAGATGAACTCATTACATACAAATGATCCTCAATAAATAATAAGATTATTATTATTATTTATCATCAGAAACCCTGGAAGCAAAATTATCCTCCACAAATGAAAGAGATATGAGACATTCCATGAACAGAAATGGAGAGACTTTTTTTGCTAGCAGACCTGCACTACAGAAATAATAATGGGGGCCTTCAGGCTGAAATGAAAGTAGACAGTAACTCGATTCCATATGAAGAAATAAAGAACATTGGTAAAGGTAACATAGGTAAATATAAATGTTTTGTACCAGCATAATTTTGTGGTTATTCCTTTTTATGGCAATTATACCATTTTATTATATGGTTATACTGTGCTCTATTTAATCTACAAAACAAAGTGATTCAAAAGTACGTGGTGGGCTATTTGTTGAGGGAAATGTAATAATATTGACTTGGTTTGTTGGAAATTGTCTAAGTATACTCCTTAGGGCTGAATTGGGTTTCCCCACCCAAATCTGTATGTTGAAGTCCTAACCTCCAGTATTTCAGAATGTGATGTATTTTGAAATGGGATCTTTAAAGAGTAATTAAGTTAAAACGAGTCACATGGGTGTCCTAATCCAATGTGACTGGTGTCCTTATAAGAGGGAAATTAGGACCCAGAGACATCCACCGAGGAAGGCCACGTGAGGGCTCAGGAGGAGATGGCCACCCACAAGCCAAGGAGAGAGGCCCCAGAAGAAACCAGCCCTGCTGACACTTGTTCTGAGACTTCCAGCCTTCACAACTGTGAGGAACATAAATTTCTGATGTTTAAGCCACCCAGTCTGTGTGTTTTGTTCTGGCACAAACTAATACAATATACTTATGGGTTCCATAAAGATACAAAACACCTTTCCATAGTGCCATTTTGAGAGGAGCATTTAATTTATGTAATAAAAATAAGCAAGATTTAAATAAATGCTCGTGGTTGCTCTTCCAATTTTTATTCATCTTTTTGGTATCTGAATTCATTCTAAAAGGGATAAAGAGAGAATGTTGGCTGGGCGTGGTGGCTGTAATCCAAGCACTCGGGGGGCTGAGGCAGGAGGATCACTTGAGTCAGAGCTCGAGACCAGCCTCAGCAAGAGTGAGACTCCATCTCTACTAAAATAGAAAGAAACTAGCTGGGCAACTAAAATAGGAACAAAAATTAGCCAGGCATGGTGGCACACGTCTGTAATCCCAGCTACTCGGGAGGCTGAAGCAGGAGATTGCTTGAACCCAGGAGTTTGAGGTTGCTGTGAGCTAGGCTGACACCACGGCACTCTAGTCTTGGCAACAGAGTGAGACTCCGTCTCAAAAAAAAAAAAAAAAGAATGTTAATGTGTCTATCAGTAAAATATTCTTAGGATAAATTGGTAATTTTCATTTCTTCAGAAAGATTCCTGGCTTACATATTGACTTTGGTCCCAGATCAGTCTTTAAAAATGTGATGTTTTACTGAATTTGAAAAGGTAACAATCCGGGCACGGTGGCTCACGCCTGTAATCCTAGCTCTCTGGGGGCCGAGGCGGGTGGATTGCTGGAGGTCAGGAGTTCAAAACAGCCTGAGCAAGAGCGAGACCCCGTCTCTACTATAAATAGAAAAATTAATTGGCCAACTAATATACCTAGAAAAATTAGCCGGGCATGGTGGCGCATGCCTGTAGTCCCAGCTACTCGGGAGGCTGAGGCGCAGGATCGCTTGAGCCCAGGAGTTGGAGGTTGCTGTGAGCTAGGCTGACGCCATGGCACTCACTCTAGCCTGGGCAACACAGTGAGACTCTCTCAAAAAAAAAAAAAAAAAAAAAAGGTAACAAAATGAAACCAACTGAGCTAGCATTATAAAAAAGGCAGAGATACTGGGATGGTATCAGTGTGTATGTATGTGGTATTCACTTTCCATATCAGAAACATCATCAGAAAGTCCCCCAGAAGTAGGTTTTTTTAGTGAGTAAAGTACTCTCTGGAAAAAGAGATGTTTTGTTTGGTGAGGAGCAAAAGGTGGAAAAATCTGATCTTGATCTCCAAGTTGTGGTCACACTCTATTCTCTGGGATGCCTTATCTTTTGCTTTGTTTTGTCTTATTTACTTATTTGACAAATAGAAATTGTACAGATTTATGGTGTACAACCTGATGTGAGATAAGCGTACATTGTGAAAAGGCTAAATCAAACTAATGAACATAGCCATTACCTCACGTAGAAGT